TTATATGTATACATGTATATTATTATATTTATCATGAAGAACCAGATCTGAAACGGACACCAGTGATCATGATTCACTCTTCATGTTTTGCTCATAGGCGCTCTAAAGATCTTCATTATCCCTGTGTTACCCTTTCACCCATCTATAAAAGGTTTCTAAGTACAGTAAGTCATTTATTATTGGTCTACTTCTTCATTTTTACAAGGGAGAGCAAGATGTTCAAAGCCTTTGTGTCGAGTCATACAAAAGAAACCACATTTCGCTACCTTAGCATTACAAAATTCAGTACCTAGTTTTAAGAAATTTGTCGTTAAAAATGTTTAGTTTCATAATATTTTTTCAAGCTCTTTCGAATGTAGATCTAATTCTTTGAATATTATCTTGATAAAGAAGCCGAATAATTTTACGATTTTGATACAGCAGATAGAACATCTAATTTGGTTTCCTGATCCTGTGATCTTAGTAACTCAACACGGCCAAAAATGTCATATATAGAGCTTTGTAATTCTGAGGTAGCGATTTGCCCCGTCCAAACTTTCTCGCGCCAACATTAAAAATGTATTTACACCGCTATCTTATCTCATTAGCCTCTTCTCTGAACGCACTGGGAATTAGCCATGTGTTCGAAATGCTATCAGCAATATTAAAATTTTGTGCCCCCTCGAAAATCGAAGCAGTTATTGATTTCGTCTCTTTGTTTAAAAAAAACAACCCCACATCAAAGCAAAACAAACTATTAAACGAAACAAAAGAAACAAACAGCAACTAAAAAAAAAAAAGATTTCAAACTGGAATGTGCACAATTGCGAATGATTAATTATGCACACTAGCGAACTGATGCTCACATTGTTTTTTTCTCCGCGCTACACGGTTTGTGCGTACTTTCAAACCGCCTAAAATGTGTTATAAAAATTAATGCCTTCCTAAACGAGAAATTAAATTTTCAGGTCAGGTATCTAGGGATATTCCAAAAAGATCAAAGGAATTCGCCGCTTTCAATAAACCGTTCAATGTGCAGATTAAAATAATCTCACCAGGGCGTCTATGTATTCGCCGCCTTCTGCCTCAACAAGCGAGTCCTCGCCTTGTACCGACAGAGATTCGAGCCTCGGCGCTCCCGCAAAGACGCCAAAAAGTACGCCCGACCCGCGACCCAGGGGTCAGAGGGCAAACCGGACCAACGCATGCTCAAAGAGGGGACCGACTCCTCCACACTGACCACACTGTCCAGCCACCTGGATTCTTCAGAGTCAGAAGGGAAACCCGGGCGGCAGAAATTGGTGGAGAATACTCACATTTAGGCGGAATATTGGGAAATTGAATGTTGTTGTGTGTGTGTGTGTGTGTGT